TGAGATCCCACAATGCATCACACAATATCAAAACATTGAATGTAAATCTCCTGTAATCCGTCCTGTCCCAGCTGTTGAGCCTGACCAAAAGAAAATATAATTAGGGAAATTTCCTGACAACGGTCAGTTTATTGAATTAAGATTATTAGAATGGCATGTGAAATTTTACCTAAAGTATTCTCATCTCCAGTCAAAAGAGATTTACTTCAAAATTTTAATTTTTTGTTTCTTTCTTTAAAAAAGAGGTTCTAAATTGTTGATCATAAAAATGTAATCACTTTTTATAACCTTGGTGTAGTTTTCTTCCATTTTCTTACAGGACTGGTAAAGTCAGTCAGGAAAATCGTCTGTCACTGAAATCAAAATAGATACATGTATACTGTATAAATGGAAATTTAAGCAAGATGCAGATTTAGCATTCTTATAAATTGATATTACATTTTTAGCGTGATTTAATTTTAAAATCAATTTTAAAATTCTCATTAAATAAACCATAACAAATAAAATACAATTTTAGTTTTAGCAATATTCGATTTTAGTGATCTCAGCACTCTTGCTTATTTACCAAAATTTAACGAGGCCCAATCTACTTGTTCTGAGCATACGTTTTAACTCGGGCACGTCACAGTACCCTTGACTGCCGTCACAATTGAATACAATAACGTCACAATTTAAATGACGTCAAATTGCGCTAAAATATTTCGCTGATCTTGCCATACCTGGTAGCTCTATAAACTGTGCATGTTGAAAGCTGGCTTATTCTGGCTTTTCTTTTATTTACATGTTTTAATTTTTTTAGAATTGATAATCAACTGTAGAGCATAATTTACTTTGAGGTATCAATTTCTTGGTACAGATTCATTAATTTTATCTTGTTTTATTGCAATTAGTGAGTTAGAAAAAACAAACAAACACTGCAACCAAAAGTAAACGATTTTATTCTTTCTCATGAACATGTTGAAGAGTTTATACACACACACACCTTTTTCATGCGGACTTAAATGTGCATGGATTAGCTGGAGTTGAAAAAAAAAAGTCTCTTATTCATTCAAATGCAACCACCGAAATATTTTATTTTTCTATATAATACCTGATATTAGTAAAATTCGTAACTTTGTCGCCTTTTTACCCCACCCCCTTTCTTTTCCACGTAGAACAACGTCGTGTGATAAGAAAAATAAATAAACCATGGAGAGAAAATTATTTTATGATGTAAGAATTATTTAATTTTTAGAAACTAATACAGTATTACAATCGTTTATTGATGTTATGTAAACCCATTGTAACTTTTAAAAATATCTAGTTGGATAAAATAAGTCCTATTTTTGTGTTTTGATATGTTCCCTTTTCACTGCAATAAAGACAACCTCCAATTTTCTTTTCATTTTTCAAAAGAGGAATGAAAATAGCATGATATATCTGAAAAACAAAACATTTCATCATTTATTGTTTTTTATTTGTCAATTACTTTGTTTATTGGGGAGTTTTAGTATGTAATTGGGTATAAAAACACCAAAAATGGTCCATATCTTGAAAGTGCCCCCATTAACTACAATACAGGCGAGGTAACAAAATTTCATTCTAATTTTTCTAAGCATAATACATACAAACAAACTTCCAAGAATTAAAGTTTTTTATCATTCCGTTTTCGTAATTCCCAACTAGACTGGGCCTCGGTAATCCTCACTAAAAATTCTGCTAATATGATACAATAAAAGACTTGCATTGAAATACTGTTTGCATACTCCTAGAAGTTTCAGCCACAAAAATTGACTTTATGCAAAAATATTTTGATATGTCTTCTTTTTTATTTTATGTCCGTTATCATCCAAATAATCATTCATAAAGTTTGAGTTTATTCAAATAGTTCATTAAGTAATTATAAGCTGATGATAAAAAAAATTAAAAATCTTCTCAAGATCCACTTGGCATGTAAAGATGTAACTTATGTGGAAACATTTTCATGTAGTGTAGATTCAAGCTTGTTCAAAGATGTAACATGTGGAACCATTTTCATGTAGTGTAGATTCATGTTTGTTCAAACCCCACCCATCGACCCCCCGTTCCGTTCCTATGAACAGGGCGCCATTGTAAAACCCCTTATGAAGAACCCTACTATTCTAAATGAGGATGTTTCTATTCTTATTTAGTTCTATCTTTCCTGGCCCAGTGGTTCTTGAATAGAAGACTTTTTAAAAGATGCCATAAATTTTTCACTAATTTTTAATCATCTCCCCTTGGAATAGTGGCCCTTCATTTTAACAAACTTGACTCCCCTTCACCAAAGGATATTTTCTGGCAAGTTTGGTTGAAATTGGTCCAACAGTACTTGAGAGGAAGATTTTTTTTAAAGATGTCATTAATTTTTCACTATTTTTTTTTATTATCACCCCTTGGAATAAGGTGTGGCCGTTCGTTTTCAAATACTTGAACCCAGGTCATACAAGGATACTTTATGGCAAATTTGGTTGAAATTGATCCAGTAGTACTTGAGAAGAAGATCTTTTTAAAGATGTCATTATTTTTTCACTAATTTTTCATTATGTCCCCTTGGAATAAGATGCTGCCCTTCATTTTTATAAACTTGAATCAACTTAATCCAAGCATACTTTGTGGCAAATTTGGTTGAAATTGATCAAGTAGTTCTTGAGAAGAAGTCAAAAATGTGAAACGTTTACAGACAGACAGACGGCCTGACGCCAGACAAAATGTGACCAGGAAACCTCACTTGAGCCTTTGGCTCAGGTGAGCTAAAAAACAAGAGGCCCATGGGACTTATAGGTCACCTGATCATTATGCAACAACTTTCCAATCATTGAATTTGGTTCATGTTTTAAACTTCACGTCATGGAATTCACAATTTTGAAAGAGGCACCGTTACCTATCATAGCTATACGCTTGCATGCTTACTTTCAATTGGTTACTTAATACCCATCGACAAAGTAGGGGAACAAACAAATGCATTTCGATTAATCAGTAATATTCGACAATAATCAATGGTGCCACTACCACATATGAACCCCTGACCCTTGGTCCACACATTTCACAATTTTGGAAGAGGCACCCTTGCTTATCAAAAATGTTTGAAACAATTAATTCATTTTCAGTATATAAGTAAAGCTTCCCCCTCCCCTTTCATGGTAGCCTTGACAAAAGGGTATTGAAATTCACAATTCAGAAAGAATAACCCTTGCTCACTATAGCTATATAGATGATTCATCTGCTTAATACCCAGGGTCAGATAAGAAAATTTTTCAAAGATTTAATGTATTTTCACTATAAATTCAAAAGAGCTCCGCCGTAACATCCAGAACCCCTTACCCTGGGGCCATAAAATTCACAATCTTGGAAGAGGCATTCTTCCTCATCAAAACTATATACTTAGTTTGTTTAATACCCTGGAACAAAGAAGATTTTCAAAGAAATAATATCATTATAGAGACCCATGCTAACACCAGCTTTCTCCTGACCCTTGGGCCATAACATTCACAATTTTGGAAGAGGCATTCCTCCTCATCATAACTTTATACTTAGTTAATTTGTTTAATACCCAGGTGCAGACAAGAAGATTTTCAAAGAATTAATGTATTTTCACTATATAATCAATAGAGCCCCACCCCAACACCGGAACCTCTGACCCTGAGGCCATAAAATTCACAATTTTGATAGAGGCATTCTTCCTCATCATAATTATGTACTTACTTAGTTTATATAATACCCAGGAGCAGAGAAGAATATTTTCAAAGAAATATTGCATTTTTACTATATAATCAATAGAGTCCCGCCCTAGCACTAGAACCCCTTACCCTGGGGCCATGAACTTCACAATTTTGGTAGAGGACATTCATGCTAACGGTTTGACTGCTTGATGCCCAGGAGTAAAGAGGAAGATTTTTAAAGATTGCATAAATTTAAGTTGTTTTGGCCCCACCCCTCAGGCCCCAGGGGGGGCATGTACCATGAAATTCAACATTTTTGTTCCTCTTTACTTATAGATGCTTTATGCCAAATTTGGTGGAAATTGGTTAAGTGGTTGCAGAGAAGAAATCCGGTGACCTTAAATAACTGTTGAATATATTTCCCCTAAGAGATCGACTATAACGCAGTGTAGTTTAGGGTCTCCGTGGTCCACCCACGTGCTTAATGAATTACTGCCATTGGTTGCTAACGTGGGTATAATAACAGACAAATAATTCAATTGTCTTTTCCTTAATGAATTGTTTTCTTATGTCTTTCTACAGAAAGATTTCTTTCTATTAATCAGGTAATGAATATAATATATTGTCAGGAGATCAGAAATGAGTTTACGCCTCTCTGTAAAAAGGTTTCTTTCCAATCTTGGTTTGATTTACGTAGAGTTGTCATTGAATATGTACTTTTAAACACTTTGCAGAAGGCTTCAAGCACATTCATTTGAATGACTAAGACAAAGTAGAGATACTAGTACTTTATTCAAGTATTATAGATGTACAATATATCTCTAAAAAACAAAGTTAGGAGTGGGGTTCATGTACATGGATCCTGAGAAGAGTGGATAAATGTATTTAATTTTATATTTCTAATTTGTTAATATTTACAAGGATATTTTAAAAATTTGAAATATTTCTATAAAAGATTGTTAGTCAAACAAACTGTCAAAATATTATTCAAGTACTGTGGTTTCATTCAGGTTTAAATATATATTATCAGAGACTATGAAGTAATTAAACCGAGTCATACAGTATATGATTATGTGTACTTCTTCCCCTAATCACCCCAAGAAGCATCATAGAAATCTTACATCAAGTATGACTGCAGTACAATGCTGGGAAATACCAGGATATGTATCGTAATTTTTTTTTATAAATCTACAGGAAAGAATCAAAAATTACAATTAAAAGAGTTTTTTTAAGTTTAAGTAAGAATAATTAAGAATATAAACACAGATGCCTCGAAATATATATTATTAGTATTAAGATTTGACAGCAAATTATATCTAGAATGAGGATATACAAAAAATTTAATGATTGAATACAATGATGTTTTTATGGCATCTGTTACGATTTCACAGGATGATAAATCACAATTCCAGTTAATTACACTGTGTATTTAAACACTTTGACAAGTCCTTCATAGTATCCCACCCACAGTGAAGACTTGTAAAGTGATAATCTGACTGGATGGTTTACTTCATTTTCCTGGAGTAAGAACTTCAGGAACTCCCCGTCAGGACTCAGAAGATGGATCTGTCTGTTGTAAAAGTAAGTAACAAGGATGTTACAGAGGGAGTCAGACGCTACATCATCTGGATTAAAGGCTTCTGTCAGGTTCTGTCCACGGTAGACAGACTTCATACGACCAGAGGGAGACAAAATCACTAGTTCACCTGTACTGCCACTTGTACGGTTCACAACACAGATATCACTGTTACTGTTCTGTGTGATTCTGCCTGGCATTGTAAACAGACTGGTCTGACCGCCCTCCTGGTACTCATACTCATGGATGACGTCACCTGTCATTGTGATGTGTCTCACCAGACGTCTGCTTTGTGGCGCTAATTTAAAGCGATCTGATTTCTTGTCTCTCAAGGTGACCAGTAGTCCACCGTCCACTGACTGACAGATGCCCAATGCTTCCAGTGGATCTGTACTGACGACTGTAGACACAGATCCTGATGGTGACAGACAGCTGATGGCATTGTTACTAACGTCAGTGAAATAAACATCACCAGTATCAGTCACATACAGATCATTAGGTCTGATATTACATTTAACTTTTTTCTCACCATCTTTGTTTACTTGTTCAATGTAAGGTGACTTTATATCTCCTACGTAACACTGATCTTCACACAATGCCTTCGACACAAATATTCGTTGATCTCCATATTTAAATGAGCTTGTTTCAATCAAAGTGATATTGTTTAAATCCTGAATTTTTCCTATCATATTCTCCATCACCTCGTCACTGATTTCTCCTTTAACGTATCTTAATGAATAATTAAAATTGTTAAAATTACCATCCTGACCAGTCAGCTTTTCAGTCAGTTCCCTGTGGTTGTCAATGAAACTGTAATCAGACATGGTTCTGTTGTTATCCTCCATAAACTTGACCATCTCTTCTATTTCTTCCTTCTTTTTGTTTAGCTCAGATTTCACACTGTTCAACTTTTTATTTTTTTCCTCCAAATCCTCTGTTAATCTTCGTTCATTATTTTTCCTGATTTCTGTCAAACTTGCCATTATCTCATCAACATGCTTCTGAAGCTTTTTAATCTCAGAGTCACACAGTTCTTTATTTTCTGTGATCTTATCTGAAACTTTCTCCAGCATTTCTTCAATCCCAGGCAGATTCTCTTCCTTGATCTTCTTCAGTAAGTTAAGTAGACCTCTCCTTCTTTGGCTGGCTGCCGTGGGTATAGTGCTCCATTCATGTTCTTTATGATCTGTTCTGGCACACTTACCACAAATGAATTCATCACAGTCCTCACATATAACATCAATAGGTAAATCGTGGGTTTTACACATTTCTATATGCTCTTGAGGAGAGCCCGGTGGATATTTTGGTTTACTGGCGGCCATGTTTGTTGAGTGTCTCCTACCTATGACCTAGATTTGAAGTAGCGGTAAGTGAACTGTGAAGTGATTTTGACCTTTAGCTGAGATATGTTACATATGCACAATCAACAAACAGGTGTACCTATACAAATCATAATATTAAGAGTCAGCTTTAAACTAAGTGTATTAATGTGTCACTATATAAAATTTTGAGCATATATCTAGCATTTCACGTATTAGTTGTAAGGTATGCAATTTTTTTACAGGGGTTAAACTAAAAGGGATTTTTCACTCCTTTTTTTAATTTTTGGCAGATAATGCCACTAAACTGTGTGCTTACAAGTAAGACCTTTAGAGGCAACAAGAAAACAAGAGGCTCTAGGGCTACATTGCTCAACTAAGCAACTGGCTAGATAAAAGCAAAATTTAGTTCAGCATTAAAGTTTAAATATAGAAAGGGGTTCAGGGAAGAGGGGTTAGGGGTATTTGAACAAAGTTAAATCTATACTTCCTACGGATGCTTTTAAATTAATATGATTCATAATTCTTTGCTGTTTATAAGATTGATAAACTTTGATTGATGTAACCTAACCTTTATATATTCCTTTGAATAACTATGATCCACTTTAATTGCTCCTCTAGTCTCCTGGTTGGTCATGATTTCAACAAATTTAAATTTACATCACCCTTTTTTCATCGTTTCCGACGATGCCCATTTTATGCTTTTTATATTGATGATCAATCATAGCTTTGTTGTTCTTGTGAAGAACTGTAACAATTTTTCCTACGTATTCCCACGTAAAACCTTGATCGCCTATAGTGGCCCCTTTCTACCCCTGGTGGTCATGATTTGAACAAACTTGAATCGACACATGTACACTAGCCGAGAATATTCTTTTTAAAAATTACATCCATTCCATTTGTCTTTAAATGTTACCAATTTATTAGCACAATGCTACATTTACCCTAGTAATTCACGAACTGAGCAAGATATCAAAAAATCTGAGATACGGTTTGTGAATTCTAGACGCATTCTGGCCAGTTTTCAGAGAAATTGGTCAATAAATAAGGGAGCTGAAATTATACCACCAACTGTCTGATTTACTTTACAGTAGAGGGCAAAAACCCATTACACAAAAAAGTCTGCCAGAGCTAGAAATATATGACACCTTGGAGTTTCAGCTTTGGATACCTCTCACTTATCCATATATCCTATGCATATTCACAAGAATGGGAGGTTCTATTCTTTATTTAGGTGCTTTTAATGAAGTAAAATAGGTTCAATTCTCAATCAGAAAGATTTCCCGGCAAAATGGCAAGAGCTAAGCTCCACCTCCTTTTTCAAAGTCATTAGTGACCTGTTAGATATCCTTCCTAAATCTAGAGTCCCTGTAGTTTAATTACTGATAACCTCTGTGTGGCTAGTGAAGAATTCCCCAACTGGTCACAGTGATTAATTGCCCCTTTCAGAAGCAAGCAGTTACAGACCAAATCAGAAGCTTCAATAACGGCACATTTACATGTGTTAGTGTTTATGTTTGATTATTGCTAAATATAAGAAAACCATTTAATAATCAGCAAAAATTTTTCATGCATTATAAAGCAGTGATTAGCATTGTTTTTTGGGGGGTTTTGCCAAAAATCTCAAAATTGACAAAATTCTTGAAAAAAAAACTTTGGTGTATCCTTAATAAAAAGATTCATCTTCCTGCTGTCAAACATCTGTCTGAATGATCAAAATGTCCCAAAACTTTCCACTTTCGTGAGCAAAAAATACGATTATAAATTTACAAATGAAAAGACCGACATTTCTTCCAAATCTAGCTGTTTCGTAATAAAACGTTTTACAAGGAAAACAAACTATAAAGCAGGTAACTACCTTTATTTTTTCAGTGAATAAATTGCATTTTCTCCATAAATAAAACATGTACGTATGTAGAACACCTGATAAAACAACAAAGATTATTTTCACCAGCTTATAATGAAGTTTTTCAAACAATTAAAAAATGCCTTAAAAAGGAAAAAAAAATCTTTTAAATTATTAAAGTCCGATCAAATATGCCCAATACTTTTTTTCTTTCTTAAATGACTGACGTCTAATGTAAAAACATCCTATAATGACACATTGTAAAAACGTTTCGGAAATATGAAAACTACTGCCTTTTTACGATCTAATGAATTTATCCCATCATTTTAAAATTTACATATAATTGTTACATAATTTTAATCAAGAATTTATAGTATATTCAAATAAATCCTTATTCTTGACACCTCTTCTACAGCGTACGATCTAATAATTAAGTAACTTACAATAATAATATTATTCAAAACCATATACAAAAGAAATAATTATAAAACTAACTTGCAACACATTACTTCTGTATGAATGAAAAATTAAATACTACTGGTACATCGTTTCATCAAAATTACACCCATATCTACCATCTGACAAAAAAATTATTTTAATTTCGCAGAAAATGACGAAAGAATTCCGACGTTTAAAATTTTCTTCGTTGGACCTAATATCTAAATGACAACAGTCTTAAGAAGATTAATTTAGAACAGATATAATATCAGTTGTAACAGCTAACTTCTTTACAATAAAACGGTAGGCACTTGGATGTCTTACATGTAGCATAAAGCAATATGAGCTGCAACTTTGAAGTCCGAAACTTTTGTTGTAATATTGTAATTATAAATATTTCAATGACAGGAAAAAGTACTGCTGTTCATATTAAAGATGGGTGGAATATTTTTAAGCTTTGATGCAAAATTACTTCATTTTGGTCTATTTGATCATAAAGGATTAAATTACGTACAGATTTATCATAATAGTATTAGAACATTTTGACAGGAAAATAAAATTCTCAAAAAAATGCAGCTCAAATTGCTTAAATATAAATCGGAGCTGCTTCTCTTACATCTTCTTCAGCTTGAGCTTTTGCTCTCTTGCAAGAATAAAACTCCAAGACAAGATTTCAACATTTTTTTCTTCATCCATAAAATTCAGAGTTACAGCACACTTCGTGGAAAATATTTCATATGGTTTCAATCACCCTGAAATGATCAAGTATGCTGGAATATTGATCATATTTTCATGGAGTTATTATTTTTGCATGGCAAAACTTTGAAATGTAAAATTGGCACTTTAAAAGTTCTATATATTTATGACATCCTAATTAATATTCAGAAAACAGTATGTGCATTGTACATGCAAAACCTCCAATTTATTAATACAGTGGAGCCTCATTTATCCGACGCTTTGGTCGTTGTCAATTTGTCCGGATATGTGAAGCGTCCAGATATCTGAATTACCAGTTAAGCAAGAACAAATGACAACAAAAAAATTCTGTTCCAAAGAAAAGTGTCTGGATACTGAAGCATCCGGATATCTGAGGGTCCACTGTATACTACCCATTTGAAAGAAAAAAAACCTTTCAGATCAGAAGACATAATCCTCAAATAATGTTTTGTTTCACTTGGCATTAAATCGGATCTACATTTTTTCAGTGTTTTTAAATATAAGTACTCTAAAAATTGTGATAAAGGTCATTCAGAAGTTTACCCATAAGGGTTATATAAGAAACATCACCCTGTGGTGTCTTGTCCAAATGCCTGGTAAGGTACCCTGATTTTTTTGTGAGGAAACTACTTCAATGACAAATTCTTATTCTTAATTATAAAGATTGTATCTTACAATATTTAATAAAAATAATAAGTTAACATGAAAATGAAGGCAAATACATTAAATTTGAGCCCTTCTGCAAAATGCTGACATTAAATACAATGATGTGTCACAAGCATGATTGTGCACCTTTGGGATGTCTGGCATTTGATTAGGCTTCTTTAAGTTTCTCATAAAGTCCATGTACATAAAATCAAAATGAAAAGCAGACAAGTTTTTAAGAGTTGGAGATGCTTGTAGACATTCGCAGAGAGGAAATTCTTCTTTTTTTTTTGGTCCACTTTAAGACATAGGAGGTTAAATCCTTGATAAATAGATATATGGAACAAAATGGCTGTACGTTCTTCTGATATCTTTTATAAAATAATAAGCTAGTTTCTCTTAAAAATTAAAAGGGCTGCAAACTATAAAAAAAAATTAGGATGCAGAGTGAAATGCAAAATAAATCTGTATTTAAGATATAACACGCATATCAAAACTCAATTCAGTATCTGAAGCATTTGGAAAATAGTGGTACAGAAAGACACAGTGACAGACAGACAGACAAATGAAGAAACTTATATTCTGCTTTGGTTTCTCTAGTAGGAGACTAGGAATCATTTAAGGTCACAAAAAACCCAAAAGCCTTCATTAAATTAATAAGAACAAACAGACTGTTCCAAAATTAAACATTTGATTACAACTGTCACTGAAAATTTGGAACATAGGAACACACAAACCTTAAAAATAAACATAAGATTTCAAAAACTTTAAAACTGCTATTTTTTCCCAAATTACAGGTGTAGAATAAATGCATAGTCTCTTCAAGATAAGATTTGCAATTTTACACATTTCTTTGGAAGGGGTAATTTAGACAATACTAATTGAGTGATATGGTAAAAACAATATTTTAGATAATTCTGGGATTCTGTGCCCCCAGTTATGGAAAAAAGAAAAGCATGCAAGAACTGAAAAATAAGGTGAAGAAAGAAAAGATTTTGAACTTCACTTTTGGGTTCAAAGTCAATAGGGATCTTTTTCAGTTCAAGAAAATTATGTTCTCAAGTGTCATTGCAAAATTTTACAGAGAATTAGCATCTGAAAACCTTGCCTGCAATAAATGAATTTCAAACTTTTTTGTACAATTAAAAGGAAAATTTATTCTCTGGGAGTTAAATCTTTATTGAATAAACTAAAACAACAAAATATACTCATGATAATTTGGAAACCCTTCTTTTTTAATTAATAATTAAGATTTCTGAATTCATTAAACTTTTATTTGAGGACAGATACTGGCCTTGACAAAATAAGTTTTTTTTTATAATGTCGACATTAGCAAATTATAATCCTTACATCACACCCTGGAGCAATTATGTAGGAGA